GATGATTGTAAATTGTCAGAGACATTAAAGTTACCCATGACAATTGGTTATATATTGTTTGTATTTGCTTCTTGAATCCATTGTATAATATTGTTTTAGATGAGAAGTCTAAGTTAAAGGTCATCACAAGGTAGGTAGACTGATATAATATGGAATTTAAAGTTATGTTTAAAGAAGAGGTCAATTGTAATAGCATATTCAGGAAAGTTGAGTGTTTTATGAACATGTAGTTTGAGATGTTTTTGGATTATAATTGCTGTTCTGGCTTTACAATTATCAGTACATGACCAATAATAAGTAAAGTGCTGGGATCTGGAAAATTTAACATGTGCATTGTTCTGTAAGATTTTAGTTTCTGTAATACTAGCAATGTTGATGTTATGAGATAGACAGTAATCCTTTCATGTTTGTTGTTTTAGGTTATCATTATATTCTTATGTATTATATATACATATTAATAGATAAAGTAGTTTGTATGAGTTAGGTGTAGATGTCTGAGCTATTAGGTTGGAAGACATAGGTTCAGGGATGGTCTCAGACCAGGAAACTATATAATTAGATGCAGAGGTAGATGGTAAATTAGTAGATAGTGATGCTGAAAATAAGTTAGCAAGGAACAGTTAATCAAGTGAAGATGAGTAGATGTTAGATGAGGTATTGTTTAGTGTTGTTAATAAAGGTAAGTGCTTGTATAGTTCATATTGAAAAGGTTGGATAAGATTATTATAGTGGTTTAATTGTATTAAATATTTAATATTCAATTTAAAATGCAGGACTTTTTGTTTATATAGTTTAAAAAAAAAATAATTATTAAAATTAGCTCTTATGAATAATAATGCAATAAAGCTATTTCAATATTATGTTTTATTTCACTAAGTATTTATACTATTATTGGCATATTTTTCTACTATCAATTTTAATATTTCCTTCACATAAGATCTTTAAACATTCCCAAACAACAAAGCTTTTATTTCTGTTATTGCACATTATATAGATGAATGCTAGACCCTTAAAGAAACATTAATTGACTTCAGCTTGTTAAATAATAAACATAATAGAATAAATATTTTGAATGAATTCTTTAAGGTAATAAAAGATTATAGAATTGCATTAAAGGTTCTTATTTATTTCTAAATTATCTGCCATTTAAAACTATTATAGTTATTACTGGTTTCAATTAACTTACTAACTGTTATTTCACCAAAAGTTCATTTAGCCATCATCACATAGAGTTAGGGTTAAGCATTTATTAGTTGCAGGTATTATATTTTTGCTAAATTTTATCTAGTGTGATATCAATTAAATGAGCTATCAGTAAAGTGATTATTGATAAAATAATACAGATCTATTCATATTCTTTAAATTACATGATAATGGATAATATATAATAATAAATTTTAAATTAAATTTAAATAAAAGACTCAATTTTGTATTACTATATAGTGCTGCATAGTGCTCTCTTAAAAAAAAAAATCTATTAAATAGTATAAGGGTACTATTTAATTGTAACTTTAATATTTTTGTAAAGTATTTAATATTGATCAGGTGACTCAAATCAATGATTATATTAAATGATTGTTTGATTTTTTGTAAAGAACTTGTAGTACCATATGCAGCATTATACAGTATCTATATATATAATTATAAATCTTTTATAAAATAGGATTGATTTTCTTTTTTATAGCTTTATACCATCATCTTGGATAATGCTGCAAACAATAATACTTTCATTCATAAATTGGCTACCAAGTTAAGAAAAGAAAGTATTGAATAAGATTCAGAACAACTTCAATTTCAATGCTTCAACTATATCTTTAATTTGGCAGCACAAGTAGCTTTAACCAAATAAAAAAAGATATTGATAAGATATTAGTATAAATTTTATAAAGTTAATTTTTTAAAAAATATTTTTAGTTACTAATGAAGAAATAATTAAGATTCAGAAACTTAACTTCAGTATTCATACTATATCTCAACATTTTGAGCTTTTGGAAAATGTGTATAGTACATGTTGTATTAAGTTTTACAAACTAAACTTAGACTGTTTAACTTGTTAGAATTCCACATATGATATAATTAAGAATGGGCTATTTCTTAAACTAGTAAGCTTTTTGTCTTAATTCTTATAATTGCATTTAAAGAAGCCCAACTATATATGTATTAAAAATCTAAAAGTTATTTTTAGACTATTAAAAAAAATATATATATTATAATTTTTTTTAAAAAAAATAATTAACTTGTTGCTGATAGTAACAGTACCAGATTTATTTAGAGTTCTATTTAGAGCTATAAAAAATTATAAAATTATATTTGAAAATTATATTTGAAAATTTTGAAACTTCGAATTGTGCAATCTAATTGGCTTGGATCTGTCAGAATTATCTCTCTCTTTAATATAATTCTTAATCATATTAAAGATATAGCTTTAAAGAAAGAAATAGCAAGTTATTTATGATGCTAAATTAGATACTGAAATTTTTATTTATCTTATTTAATACCTACTGGGAAAACCTCTACCTGGTTATATTTTTAAATTAAGATCCAAAATTTTAGCATCATTCAATTTCAGTATTATTTCTAACTGTTATTAAATAAATATCTAGTTTTATATTTATTAACTTACAATTATTAGATTTATTGCTCTCTGCAGCAGCTATCACAGAATGAGAAGAACTTATTTAATATTATTCCAAAACAAATACAACTGTAATGTTATGTACTATTTTAGATCCAAAGAGAAAATTCTATTATTTTATTAAAAGAGAATTTCTAAAGAATAAAATTAATGAAACAAAGGCCTTGTATATTGTTTTTATTTAATTATTGTTTAAACTTGGACACAGGTATATCTATACAGTTGTCACTCAGTTCTACAATAAGACACTTACCTAATATTACATAGAATTAGAATTAGTATTTAATTAGTTGCAGCTATACATTTTTAACAAATTGTCATACTATATGATGTCAGGTAAGTGGCCTGTCAAAGAAATAATTTTTGAGAAATTTTACCATAAACCATTAATTCTAATGCTAACATTCATATAAATTTGCAATATTTTTAAGTACTGTATATAAAATTTTAGTTATATAATTCTAATTTTAATTATTAGAAAATTAGATACTATATAGAACTGCTTATAGTACTCTATAAAATAATACTACTATAATTAAGATTCAGGTATTATTTATCATCTACTAGTCTATTTTTTAAATAAGACTGAGTTACTTTTCATATAAACATACTCCAAATATAGTACTCAGTTCTATACAAGGTACCTATAAATACTTCAAACATCAAGGTTTTTAATAAGACCCAAGAGTAATACAAGCAGTGCTATACAGTAATAGTGAAAATTTAAAACTTTTTAGCTTAAAATTTGCAAAATTTTGAATACCTTTTTATTTATTTTTTAGTTTACAATCTGAAGTTTATTGTACAGCAATTTAATATCTGTGTCAAATTAAAATATTTATAATTAATATAGGCTTTTATCTTAAATTTTAATCTGATGCAATCTGACATACATAGTTATTAATAAAAATATGATAAGTTTTATTTTATGAATCCAATAATTAATAATTTAATTTTATTATATAATAAATTTACTTTTTAGAATACATAATATTTTTGAAACAAAATATTTACTAGCTACATCTAATAATAACTTGAATATTAATAATATCATAAAATTAATATGATTAATATTGAATTTAGATTTTGATAATAATAACAAAAACTTTGACAAGCATGAATGCTATATTTTGAAAAAGCCAACAAATAAAGATATTGATGTGTTTGTCTAATAAAAAGTAACTAAAAGAAATATATATCCTATTGTATATTGAATAATATTAATATTAATATAATAATAATAATAGACACATCAAACACAGTTTTCTTATCTTGCTTATATGGCTTGTAACTACTTGGCAATCTCTACATTCTTTGCTGCTTCTGAAGGTGCTTTTTCTGTAGATAGAAATATAATTACAAATAAAAGACCTAGTTTAGTATCTAAAACTGTAAGAATAGCATAATGTTTTTGCTTATGGACTCAGAAACTGTTGAAAAGAAAGTTAAAAAATTAGTTACTATACAACTGAATAATTAAATAAATAATTAAATAAAGCTATATTAATTTCTAACTAATATTTAGGCTCATTTTTTTTTAATAACAAAATATATTTAAGCACTTATATATTAATATAAAAAGATATTTCAATAAAAGTTATTAAAATAAATTAGTATTAAATGACATATTTTTTTTTAAATAACAATTAACATAGCTATATATAGGGATGTTAATTAATTATACAGTAATTATCAGCTGACTTTGAGCAACGTTTGTAATTTTTAATTAATATTCATTTAATAACTAAAGTTATAGAGAAGTTACTTCTCTATAACAGTCTTTAATGAAAATTTATCAGCTTAGCATTAGTATTGAAGTAAATTAAATAGGACTGATCAACACATTTTCATTACTGTTCAGTCTCTAATTGGTTCTATCTACTCAAAAATTAATATAAAAACTGATAAACTTCTATTAAAGACTATTATAGAAATAATTTTTTTGTAACTTTATTTATTGGATGAATTTTAATTAAAAATGTCAATTCTTTACAAATCTTACTCAAAGTTGATTGATAATTATTGCAAGACTGATTAACATTTTTAACTATTTAACAAACTATTTTATATTAAAAGATATATATATTTCACCTGTTGAAAGGATATTGTTTCAGATAGGCATATCAGATATCAGATACTTCTATTAAAAGTATTGGATATCTTATATCTATTAAAACTAATATCTTTCTAATAGGTATAAATATGTGCCAAAAATAGCTTAGCTATCAGATATATTGACATTTGATATTTTGTTGACTCTAAATTTTAAAATTCAGCCTATATTAGTGAATGAGTATAAAGATGCACCTATTAATTAGTGAATTAAAAAAGTAATTTATGTTTACAAACACTTATTTATTACTAAATGATACCTTTCAAATTATCATTCTATCCAGCTAGTAAGTAATATAATAAATTTCTAATAATTTAAAAAATATAAATATTTGATGGTGATTAAAATGTCAACTTAAATATAGAAAAAGTATACATTGAACTAAAGACAATATGTTTAAAACATGGTGTTTGGCATGTGATCCCAACAAGCAAAAAAAATATTAATGATTGCATCAGAGAATTTTAGCTTAGAACTATAAGAATGTATTAAATAAATTCAAAAAAAATTATAATAAAAAAATTAAAAAATAAACCTTTTAAATTAATTGAAAAAAAATAGTTAAATAAAAATAAAAATTTAAATTAATTAAACAAAAAAAAATTTTATTGAGCAATTAATTCTTAAGATTACATTATGTAAAGTTTGTAACTCAAAATTTTAAATTACAAACTTTACATCTTAAAATTTGATTGATTAGTAAAATTTTTTTTAATTTAAAAATTTAACTATTCTTTATTTTTATTTTTTTAACAATGTTTTTTTTTAAATAATTTATTTAAATTATTAGTTTTATTTTGCTTTTTATTTAATCAATAGTTTTTTTTTAAATAATTTATTTATTTTTTTTATTATTCTGGAAAATAATTAATACAGTAATTAAGAGAAAATAATATTAAATTATTGTAATAGGAAGATTAATAAAAAGTAATGTCATAAAAGTAGTAGATAGTGTTGAAAAAGGAAAAAAAGTGATTGTTGGAGATGTGAAGATGTGTTGTTAAGTAAATAGTTATTAATTACTAAGTAGTTGTTTTAGAGAGAGGTTAATTGTTAAGGAAGTAATTGTCTTTGAATAGGTGGTAGTGTTGAAAAAAGTTTGTCTAAGAAGCAGTTGTTAAGAAAAAGAAATGATATTTGTAGTAGAATTTATACATATTAGATTAGTACAATTTTAAAGAATAATAATACATTTTATAAATAATTATTATTTACTATTTGGATTCAAACTAGTTTGCAAACTTCAGACTAAACTGGTTCAATAAAAGTACTATTCAGACTCAAACTAGTTTGCAAACTTTGAACTAAATCTGAACTGAACTTAAACTTTACTAAAAAGTTTGAAACAAAAAGTTTGAGTCTAGTTCAAAAATCAAACCAGACTTAAACTGACAAAAGTCTGGTTTGGTCTGGTCCAATAGAAGTCCTAAACAGAAGCTTGATTTAGTATTAGAAAAGAAAATTAGCATCCAAGATCTATAATGTTTTTTATAAACAAATAAAAGTACTAATAAAGATAATTAATTAAATAAATTGTAGAATATAATAAGCAATAGTATTATTGCAATAGCAAGAAAATATATTTTAAAGAAAAATTTAAAATACTCTAAGTAGAAAAAGAAGAAAACAAAAAAAATCTCAATTAAGTAAAACTATTACACAATTGGAAAGCTGAATTAGTATAGAAAAAATAAATATTAAATTAGAGTTTTTAGAAGGTAATATAGATAAGCTAAATGAAAAAATTAGATTTATCAATGAATGACATAAAACTTATATAGACTTAGCACAATTATGGACACTCAAGCTCATTAAAGATATAAAAGATTGGTGAAGAATATTCCAAGCAAGAAGAATCAGCAAGTTAGAAGAATAAAAAAAAACAAATAGAAAATAATATAGAAAGAAAATGCCAAATAATTGATGAAAAACAAAGCAAAATGCTAGTAAGCCTTTTAGATAAACTAACAAAAAAAATTTAACTAAACTGACTCATTAATGAAGAAAAAGAATAAAGAAGCCTAGTTATTAAACTAGCAAAAGTACATATAAAAACAAAAAAACAAAACCAAAATTAGTTTAGATTACAATAGTTTGACTAAAATATTTTCAAAAAAAATAAAAAACTAAAAAAGTTTATCAAAAAAGAATGATACAAAGGTCTTAATCAAGATATTTTTGATGAGAATTAGAATAAGATTTAAAAGCTTAAAAAGAAACAACACTAAAAATTTAAGACATCACATATACACTAATTCAAATAACTGAAGTTAAAGCATATAATATTTTTAAAACATTTGCTGAAATTTGTATCAAAACAAGGGCAATACCAAAGAAGTAAAAAATATTACAAATTTATCCAATTCTAAAAAAAGATGAATAGCACTACAATCTTAGTAATATCAGACAAATAGCACTATTAGAAACATTTTGAAAATATATAATAAAAATTTTAACCAAAAGATTAGCTGAAATATTTTTCTAAAAAAAATATTTTTAAAGGTCTAAATTTTGCAAAACTTACAGGAAATTCAATATAAGAGTCAGTGCATATTATAAACATATTGTTGAAAGATGCAAAAAAAAACAATAAGAAGCTTTAGTTAGTTTTACAAGATATAAAAAAGGCATTTAACTTAATATTATTAACAGCTTTAAAGGCAGCTATAAAAAAAATTAAACTTTCAGAAATAATGATTAAAATAATTCCAAATATTTTTAAGACAGACAATTCAGAATAATTACATACTAAGGTTATATAGAAGCATTTGTACTAAATTATAGAATTAAACAGAGTAAGGTGCTTTTACCTTTAATATAAAGTATATTCTATAATTCTTTGCTCAAGAGAATCCAAAAAGATTCCAAATTAGGTTATATGATAGAAGTCTCAAATCTATATAACAATAGTTTAAATTATTCAATAAAAACAAGTTAGAGACAGGCAGTAGTAGCTTTTACAAATAATACAATCTGAATAGCAAATATTCAAGAGCAAATAAAGTTGATATTACAAATTGTAAAAGATTTTTTTAAGGGTACAAAAGGCTCTAGAAGGTTTATCTTAAAGATAAATTAGTTCTAAGCTTGAGATAATGATCCGGGCATCTGAGTATGATCCAGTGAGTTAATACTAGTTACAACTAAATAACATTTAAATAAATAGAAAAAAGTCAAAGCTAATTATTATGAACTTAAGTAAATATAAAAAAATAGAAAAACCAAACTTGGTAATAAATAAATACATAAAGAAGAAAAGACTAAAATTACAAAATTTTTAGGAATTTGGCTTAACTGCAAACTCAATAAAAACCAAATCAAGTTAAGAGTGAAAGAATTAGTACATTTAACAACAAGGCTTTTAAATACTAAAACAATAACAAATATACAAATATCATATATAAACAACATATGTATAGTGCCAAAGTTAACTTATATGTTTCAAACTATAAAGTTGTCAAAAAAAATAATAGATGCTATTCAAAGCCTGATAATAGGTTTAGTCAAGCACAAACTAGAAATTGTAAGAACAGTAAGCAATAGCATAATCATATACAGAAATATAGACAACTGTAATGCACTATAGAATCACCTTGTATAAAACAAATTATAGTTTTATATATAAGACTTAATTCAGCTAAGCAGAGAAGATACTTACAAAAATTAGAGTAAACCAAGGCCTTTTGCTTATTGGTGCAATAGAAAAGAATTGATATAAAATCATATCAAAAGTATGCAGCAATCTATAAAAAAATAATTTGGCATATTAAACAATATTAAAAGTAAAAAACTTGCAAATTATTTCATTTTAACAATTTAAACATCAAAGAAAAAAAATGAAGAATTAAGGATTGCAAAAGTACTAAAAAACAAACTTATCTTTCAAATAGTCTTGGTACTAAAAAGACTTAATATAATCTTAATAAACCAGCTTATTAATAAAGCAGATAACAAAATGATTTTTTGACATTAACTTAAATTATTAAGAAGAAAATCAAGCAAAAGTAGAACAGCCAACTAGGTTAAAAAAATAAAAAAAATGATATTAGAAAACAAGAACAATAGATAATTAAAATCTGAATATATATTACCAAATAAAAACAGAAAGATACTTCAAACACCACTTGATAGTTACTTAAAAGACAATAGAAAAAGAGAATGAATAGTGCTAAAATTATTAAAAAAAAAAAACCAATAACTTAACAATAAGAAAGATAGTTATGAATACACTAAAAAAGTACTTACAGAGCATTAGAAGATAATGTTATTTGAAGACAAAACAAACCAAGTTCTTAAAAAATATGAAGAATGTAATTATGATCACATAGAAGAACTGAAAAGCTGTAGAAAATAAAGTAATAAAAAAGAAGTTCAAGGTTTGCTGTCAAGATTTATCAGAAAAAATAAAGAGCTGCTGCTCATAATAGATAAAGAAATAATACATGAATAATAGCAAGAAAGCAGAACTAAAATAAATGAGTTCAAAACTCAGCTTAAAAATATAATATGTCGCAATCTAAATATATAATTAATTAAAAAATAGTAACTAAATAAAGAACTACAAAAACTTCTTATTTTCAAGAATCAAAAAAACCAATTAAATACAGATGAAAAACTTATTTTTTATACAAATAGTTTGCTTAAAAAATTATTAATAAGTAATACTTCAAATATCAATTATATAGGAGCAGGCTAAATACAAGTTGATGCAAAAGAAGAAAAAATAATTAATAAAGATGCTATAGGTGCCTATAATTGGCCCTTATTAACAATATTAGAGCTATTAGCTATTTGATTAATGCTTCTAATAATACCAAAAAAAAGAAGAATTAAGATTTATACAGATAGTGCAACAGCAATATCAGGTCTTAAAAAAAGAAAAAAACTAAAAAAAATAGCCAATAGATTAAAGAAAAGAATTATAATTTAAAAAGAAATATAATAGAGTTACTTGAATTAAAAGAATTAGAGTTAGAATTAGTTAAAGTAAAAGGACATAATGATAATAAATAGAATATTAGAGTAAATAAATAGCAAAAGAGGAAAATAGTATAAAAAATAGAACTAAAATTATAATTATGTCATCACTAAGTTCAAATATATCATTTTGTTAGAAAAAACAATTATAAAAAAACCAACAAAATAATTTGTCAAAGATATTTTAGATTTTAAGATTAGTTTAGGATAGAAATTTATATTAACTATCCAAAAATTAGAACCAAATGAAAAAAAAGAGCATGACTGGTCATTACTATAAAAGAAATTTAGAAGTCAAAGTAGAATCAGATATATAAGTATTAAAAAAAATAGAAAAATCATAATACTTTTACAGGGTTGTAGCCTTTTTGATACAATACAACCAAGTAACAAGGTTACTCAGTATAGTGATTGACTATTGCAAATATATACAGAATGGAGGTGTAGTAGTTCACTTTATTATACAGCAGTAGGCAAATGGTTCGAAATAATAACAGTATATAGATTAACTTTTATTAACAATACACATCATCAGGAAAATTTTAAAAGGTATATATATTGATAGTAATCCCTATATTTCTATCGATATATAGCACCCCCATTGGGTATTATAGTTAGTGATTTGTAATGATATATATCAAAAATTTGTTAAAATTTCTTAAACTTTGAATTTAATTTTCTCAATAACTAGTAATTCAAATTGGCTTAAATTTTTACTGTAAATAATAAATATGTTTAACTATAATATACTAAAGTTTCAACCAATTTAAATTGATAGTTTTTGAGAAATCACTTGTAAATGATAGTTAATTTTTTTAAAAAATTATGTATCTTTACAAGTGATTTCTCAAGAACTATTGATTTAAATTGGTTGAAACTTTAGTATATTATAGTTGAACATATTTATTATTTACAGTAAAAATTTGAGCTAATTTGAATTACTAGTTATCGAGAAAATTAAATTCAAAATTTAAGAAATTTTAACAAAATTTATAAAAATCGTTACTAATCGATAATGATTATAATCAGTTATAATCATTATATATCAATTATCATTATATATCGTTAGTGATATATATCGATATATAGCAATTTAATCGATATATAGTGATTATTTTTAATCGATATATATCAATTAAATGCTATATATCGATATAAATCTGCTTAAAAATTTTGCTGATGATA